GGGCTGAGAGAAAGACAGTTTAATAGGTCTTTAATTGGCTCCTCAGTCACCTGTGCTAGGAAACTGTCATGAGTGTACTGGACTGAAATGTCCTGGATTGTTTGTGCGCTGCTGTATTGTCCCTCTGTAAGATACCAGGGTCGTTAAAGTCCCCCATGAGGACTAGGGCCTATGAGCATGAGGTTTCTTCCATCTGTTTCAGGAAGACCTCATCTACTTCCTGACCAGGCAGGCTGTACAGATACGCTCCCCTGACATCACCCATGTTGGTCTGCCTGCTAATCCTGAGCCATAAGCTCTCAAGCAGCTCATTGTTCACCCCAAGGCAGAGCTCCATGGATTCCAGCTGCTCTCACATAAGGGCAACGCCTGTTCATCACCTTCCCAGCCTGTACTTCCTAAAGAATTTATATCCATCCATTGCAGCACTCCTGTCATGTGGGCTTTCCCACCACATCTGTGACTTCAATGAGACTGTAGCCCTTTAAAGGCATGCAAACTTCTAATTCCTTCTGTTTGCTCCTCATACTGAGTGTATTACTGTACAGGCACTTCAGAAAGGTGCAACAGTCATGCTGGTTTCCCAAGAAAAGATGAGAGCTTCTCCCATTATGTCCTCTCAGCACTTCCTTATTTGTGGGTAGGCCCCATTCTGCACTGTTCTGTAGATTTTGAGGATTCTTAACCACATCACTCTGCACCTTTGCTTGCCAGACCAGTCCACCACTTCCTCACTTGAACGTGGGTCATCATCTCCCTCCTTTCTTATTCCTAGTCTCCTCAGGTTGGCCAGCCTGTTAGCAAAGATATTTTTTCACCCTGCTTTGTCAGGTGGATTCTACCCCTCCCTACCAGTGCTTGTGCCCCAAAGAGGGGGACAAACCACAGGTGGTTTTAAAGTCAAACCATTGTCAGTGACACAGCTGCACAACAAGGTGCTGAACCTCAAGATCCATCCACTCCTCCTTAAGCCCTTCCATTTCGGCAGTAGGATCAAGGAGAAAACCATCCGGGGCCCCATGACCTTAACCCTCACCTCCAAGAGCCATGCAGTCACTCTTGATATGCTCAGAGACTCTCCTGGCAGGACTGTCAGTGCCCATGTAGGCTAACATCAAGGGGTAATAGTCTACGGGCTGAACAGTCCTCAGCAACCTCTCCCCAGGATCCCAGATCTAAGTCCCCCATGAAGTAAGAAGCATCCCTGTAGATCAAGTCCAGTTGCCAAATGGGCCCTCTGTTCCCCACAGGAGGGAATATTTGTAATGAAGTTTAATAATGGGCAATACTGGTTTTTAAAATATATATATATAGCATTAGACCATTAAAACCAATCTGAAGTTCACCATATTTCTAATTGCAAACATTTATTTAAATACATAACTTGTATATATCCCCACAGACTGGTTTTTGATGGCGTTATCGTCGTTGGGCTCATATGCGGTATCTTAGAAAGATGTTTTGGTTTTAGTTTCTCAAAACATGTCAAATTAGATCACTTTTAACCTTAGTAGCAGTGGAGTACAAGGCAGAAAGTGCAATGGTATTAAAAGTTGTCCACGCAATAGTAGGAGTGACTTGAAACAAGTCAGTCATTCTTCCTGTGATGCTCTCTTCTACCAGTCCCAACTTTACTCTTTCTTCCATTTCTCCTTTCATCTTTTCCTTCTCTTCCATTTCCCCCCTTTTCGCCAGTGACATTCTTTTTGCATCCTGCACTGCTTGCATCCGGAGCTGCTTGACCTGTACTCCTCTCTGGGGGGGGAAAAAAAGGGAAAAAAAACCCCAACCCATATTTCTTTGGGTGACCTTCGGTTTCTCTGGAACAATAAACTGGAAGCAGGTACAAGACTTGAGGAAGTTCCTATTTTGGCATAGTTTATCAAATGTGATGTTAAGAGACACAACTCTCAGGTAGCTGTGGCTACCTACTCACTTATCTATAAACGTCCTAGCAAATAATGACCATATATGGGAGTGTAAGTGACTTGTTTCTTCTAGTAAACATATCTGAGAATGTATTAATCCTGCAGTTAATACTGACTATTAGTTACTTCAGGACTCAGTTAAACATTGAGAGTTTTGCTCATAAGGTACAAAATAAATGCTAATCATGTTGCCCTACAGTGAAAAGCACAGGAATCAGGAAACAGAGCAGAGGGCATCAGAGGCTCCCAGAGCAACAGATTGAATTGCTCAAACTGGTCTGAGTTGGGGAATTTCAGGTCATTTTAAATTAAAAACAACCATGGGAGAGAAAAAAGAAACAAAACAAAGGAACAAACAAAACCCTTTCTACCTCAAAAATAACTAGAAAGGAAGACACTACTTAAAAAGAAGTTTGTTTATTGCTGAGAAAAATTCTGTCTATAGGAAGACATTCACACTTGTTCTGAATTGAATTCACTGTATCTGAATTGAATGAAATTTGGCATTTGCCATACAGGAAAGGGATTACTACAAAAAGAAGCAGTAACTTACATAATTACTAGTTAACATCCTAGCATCACCCAGCTGTATCCCTAACACATTACATTTTTAAAGACTAGGTAGTAAAATTCTGTTTTCTAAATGAATGCAATTTTTTTCATGTTTAAGTCCTCCAGTGTACAGCTGCCATATTACCCACCATTTGTCCTTGTAGTTTGATGTCTTGTCTATTCTATCCTATCCTATCTTATCCTATAATAGTTTGATTCTATTCAGAGCCCATACTGGTAAGCATGTATGTTTGATATAACTTATCTCCAGTGGGACAGACCTCACTATCCCCAACACACAGGGTTTTACATGTACCCAGATTTAAAAGTCCCATCCCAGGCAGCCACTAAAAGACACATCAATCACAGAACTTCTGTGAATACAGCAGTTCTGTATCCATCTTCACATTTGACAGATTTCTCACTCAATCTATGTGAGCATCTGATATAATTAAAATAGTATAATTTCTACCATGCTAGTCTTCTACTGCTACGTAGCATGTGGTGTGTGTAACGTGTGGTTTCCAAGAACCACAGTAGTGTGGCATCAACAATTCCATGCATAAAAGTCAGAAATCTTATTGATTTCTCTTCTAATACACAGATAGAGGTAATTAAGAGGTAGAGTTTGTACAGAAAGCTCCACTCTGCCTAGCTTATTAGATCTATTGGGGTCCTTCAGCCTGGAAAGTTGTCTATTGATGTCCGCAGTAGCGAACCTTAGTCTTAGAGAGAGTATTATTTCCTTTGCTCTGCACTCACCTTAAAGATTCTTCTCTCTTGAAACTGAGAGTAATGACAACAGTAGCAGCTCTCTTAAAGCTGACAGATTCACAAAAAACACAGCTATTCAAGTGAATGAACTGAACCTTTTAAAATTATTTCATAAAACACACTTTACTGGTCCATTACAAGGAAGACATACCCAGGTCAGTACACATGCACAAACCACTGTTCTCATACAGTAATGACAGTCAGACTTACCCAGCAATCCCAAGCACTCCTGCCTATGCCGCTCATTCCAGGATTTCCTTCTGCAAGTCTCACTGCAAGTGAAGACTTCATGACAATGCGTGCAAGGTGATAGCTGAACACCAACTGAACGTCCACACTGATAGCAGTATTTAAAGAACGGTAGCCTAGAACAAAGGTAGTTATAAAATGAAAGCACATTATTGTTTGTTTAGGGTTTTCCTCAAGCTGACAGCACGTTTGCAGATCACAGTAAAACTAAATCAAAATGGCTACAATATAGGAATAATGTTTAACAATAATGTTCAACAACAAAGAAACAGGAGACTCTGTAGCTTATCACAGGAGTCTGTGGGGAACAGGCTGCATACCACCTGCAAAGCCAGCCCCCAGAAACGGCCCCCAGAAAAGCCAAGTTTCCTAGTGAGAAACATGCCCAAGCCTTTACCAAACAAACATCCACACCGTGCCATACACTAGCACACTGTGTGCTTTAGTGTACTCGTGACACTGGGTCTGGGGATGTCCATTTTCAAACTGGCAGGCAGACCAGATTATATATGGCCAGAGAAAACAAAGCCAAGCTAGCAAACTTAAAAACAAACTCACAGAACCCACTGGAATACTGCAGAGACAAACAGGGACACTCACAGGCCACTGCACCACAACAGTTATTCCAAAGTTGGAACATAAAACAAAGAGTGCTTGGGCTAAGGCTTTCAGTGGGACTAGGAAGCAGAATGTTAGATCTAAGTGCAAGCTGGACTACGTATTTACATCCTTTTTAAAGCATTTAAGAATCCTTTCCCAATAGGTAGCAAGTTTCACTGAGGTTTCATCTGTCTCTGCGAGTCACCGCTGAGATCTATTTGTAAAATCTTTGTGTGCTAATTTAACCTTACGGATTTTATTTTAGTTCACTTTATATTCTTCTGGGCTATTTCTGCATCTTATGCTATTATTGATCCATCTTGGTTCAACAAAAATGCTACCTCAAAATTTCTGTCTTCAAAAGTGCCCCAGCTCCCGACACCTATGTTACTTCCTCTTGATTCAAATACTGAGACAAAGTTCAGAAGCCTGTGAATTCCCTGCAGTAGGAGAAACTGATGACAGAATTCAGTAACCTTGAGGCAAGTATTGCCATTATTATCCAAACTTTTGTTAATACACCCTTCCAAGAATAACATTCAAATTGTACAAGTCGTTCCTGCAATTTCTGGAGAAATGTAAGCTACAAAATTTGTATGGGCCTATTTCTTAGCATTTGCATGCTGCTCTAAGGTACTGATGTCATTAATTGGTTTAAAACACAAGGACACACTGCTTCCACAAGAAGACTGAATATTATGCAGACTCTCATGGCAAAGTCTGAAGCTGCAAAGGAGTGATGTGATCAGAGCAGAGAAAGAAGCTAACTGCAGCTGGTAAGTCTGGATAGAAAGGAAAATTAGAAAGGAGAAAAATGGAAGGGTGACAACAGTTTTGGTGAGGAAAAAAAAAACACGGCATAGTATTTTTGACTAAGAATAGTCAATACTTGAGTGCAGTATCTCTGCCCTACCTCACTTCTTCCACGTGATGGGTCTCTCCTTTCTTCTTTGAAACACATGCATGAACGGCTGAATCCACTACACCAACAAAAGGGGGCATGGGGGAAAACAAAAATCAGTATTCTGACTTGAGAATTAGAATACCAGTCACAAGATCCACCTTCATTAAAAGTCTGCTTGGCTCTGTCTACTGCATAAAATTTGAAGACACATAATAAAATGCATCTTCCATCAACAAGCTTCAGAAGCCAAGAAAAAAGGAGCCAAGTTGCTATGTCACAGCCAAGAGGAAGAAAGCATACAGATAATTTACTCTTATTTCCTGCTTGTGACAAGCCACAGAGTCACAGGTTATGCTGAACTGCAAAGGTAACAATCTTATATTCAGAGATCACTTCCCAAGTATGATACTTCTTCTGCCCCAAAGACTGGTATTCGGAGACCTAGATTCTAAGCCTGATTTCACCACACATATGACTACTGCTGAAGATGTAACTCAAATCATCTTAATTTTTATATTCATTGTTGCTACTCTAATAGCAGAAAAGCATTGATACAATGGGAGTCTTAGGAAAGGACCTGAGGGTAAGTTGCCATAAGGAATGAAAATACACTAGGTGACCACAGTCACCATTGCATGCATCCTGTTCCCTGCACTAAATGCGAAGCAATTCCAAGGTTCTCCCATGAAAGAGGAGCAAGCTCCCTCAGTCACTCCTTAACACATGGTAATAGATCTTGTACAGGGATTTACCAGGAAGCAGCTGACAGGCACTAAATTCATATTCAGATTTTCTTCACAATGCCTTGTGCATTCTCTTTAATGTTTGTGGAACCCCTACATCTCCTTACCACATATTTAGGAGCCGTTTTTCTTAGGAGTTACCTTTTCAGATAGTAACACTGAAATTAGAACAATAAATTCCCCTTCACACTAGGTAATGCTACCCTTAATCTTGAACCACTCTTAGGCTTGAACTAACATTTCTTGGATCTTCTCAGCTCTTCTTGATCCCACGCTTTCTCTTTCAGGATGACATGTTCACGGAGCTTCGCTGTAATGTGTTCCAGCAGTGATCGGCGTGTTTGAAAAAGTTCCTGCTCAGATGCTGACAGTGTGTGGTATGGTGTGTGAGCAATTCTCCTATCCTGCAACATACCGTAAGTTAATCTACTAATGTACAGGAACACTAACACACAAGTGTTTCAGAGTTAAAGCCAACCCCTGCTGGATCCTGGCTTGGAGCTCAGTCTGTGATATGGGGCACAGGATATGTCCAGGTTAGATGTTCTAGTTGTTCCAATTATCATTATTATTATATTATTACTGTGAGTGCTCAACAAGTTAACTAAAACAATTTTCAGATGTTTCTTCAAGGGATAATCATAGTATTATAGAATAGCTTGGGTTGGAAGGGACCTTTAAAGTAGTCCAACCCCCCCCTGCAATGAGCAGGGACATCTTCAACTGGAGCAGGTTGCTCAGAGCCCCGTCCAACCTGACCTTGAATGTTGCCAGGGATGGGGCATCCACCACCTCTCTGGGCAACCTGTGCCAGTGTTTCACTGCCCTCAGCGTAAAAAATTTCTTCCTTATATCTAGTCTGAATCTACCCTCTTCTAGTTTAAAACCATTACCCCTTATGCTATCACAACAGGCCCTACTAAAAAGCCTGTCCCCATCTTTCTTATAAGCCCCCTTTAAGTACTGATAGGCTGCAAGAAGGTCTCCCCGAAGCCTTCTCTTCTCCAGGCTGAACAACCCCAACTCTCTCAGCCTGTCCTTGCAGGAGAGGTGTTCCATCCCTCTGATGGGGTCTCACCAGAGCAGAGCAGGCGGGCAGAATCATCTCCCTCGACCTGCTGGCCACGCTGCTTTGGATGCAGCCCAGGACACGATTGGCCTTCTGGGCTGCGAGTGCACATTGCTGGCTCATGTCCAGCTTTTCATCCACCAGTACCCCCAAGTCCTTCTCGGCAGGGCTGCTCTCCATCCCTTCATCCCCCAGCCCGTATTGATACTGGGGGTTGCCCTGACCCAGGTGAGGATCTTGCACCTGGAAGCTGCCCTCATCTTGCAGAGCTCCTCTCACAGCACTTCTAGAAGCACCAAAAAGTTTCTTGGAAATGAAAAAACAGCTAGAGGGCACTGCTTGTCCACTATTATGTTCCTTATTTCCCCATACTGCTTCCCTGTAACAAGTGCCAGCAAGGAGAGTATAGACAAAAGTCCAGAGCAAGGCAGGAAAGTAAGTAAGGTACCTGGAGTATGGTGATCAAGTTTGACCTGTGATTACAGCTATAAATTGCTTAATTTATTTTCCTGTTTGAGGATCAGCTGCAATTGCAAGCAAAGAAATCACAATTTAATGTCTACACAAAACATTGGTATGGGATGTAAAAGCCCTCATTAGCTCTAAGCAGGCTGCTCTGTGAACGAGGTGCACCATTACTTTTGTTCTTTTCAGAACAACTACTGTTTATGTCCCAGAGGTAAGCAATCTGCTTATCATGTAAGCTTTCTTGTTAATAAATCAGCTGCAATTGCAAGCAAAGAAATCACAATTTAATGTCTACACAAAACATTGGTATGGGATGTAAAAGCCCTCATTAGCTCTAAGCAGGCTGCTCTGTGAACGAGGTGCACCATTACTTTTGTTCTTTTCAGAACAACTACTGTTTATGTCCCAGAGGTAAGCAATCTGCTTATCATGTAAGCTTTCTTGTTAATAAGCTATTAAAATATTTCTTGTTAATAAGAAAGCTATTAAAAAAAAAATCTTATATTAATTCTAATTAGAACTGTCACAGAATCCCAGGCCTTTTGAAAGTTTTTTTAAACAAATATATCCAGGAAAAAAAGCATCAGGCAGGAATTTATTAGTTATACTTCACAGTAAGATTCTTTTTATAAGGGATTATAAATGATTAAGGACAACTTTAGTAAATCCATTTATTTAGCAAATATATATAT